ACAAACGAACAGTGTGGCCACCGGGAGGCATGGTGTTTAAGGCGTCGGCCTCCCACATGGCCAACTAAGCGGTTTGAGTCCCAGATCCAGAGGCTTGAAAATCCTGCCAGGTGTGTGTGTGTGTGTGTGCCCCCAAAATCCCAAGAACAGAATGGAAATGAAGGGACTGTGGCAGGGCCATCTCCCCCTGGGGGGGTGCTTTCTCAATTTCCTTCTCTCTGTCTCTTTCCAGGGAGCACATGCACCCTACGGCAAATTAAAAAGGAGGAGGAGGAGAGGGAGAGGAAGAGGGAGAGGAAGAGGGGGGAGAAGGGTTCATTCCAGAGCTCAGTGACTAAGGGAGCTGGATCCCACATGGCTGACTGCGGTTTGAGTCCTGGACCTAGGTGGCTTGAAAACATGCCAGGCACCTGTGTGCGCGTGCCAAGAATCCTGGCAGAATGGAAAAATGGAGGAGGAAGGATTGCGGCTTGACCATGTCCCATTGGAGGGTACTTTCGTGCCTTCTTCCTGTCTCTCTGTCTTTAGTGAGTGCATATGCCCTCGGGCAATTAAAAAAAGAACAGGACACATTAATTAATATCAAGGACCTGAGAGTAGGACTTCTAAGCAACAATTACTATTTCAAAAAAACGCAAACTGTGTGCAAGTGCCCATTTGACTGAAGAAGCAACGTTATCTGTAAGAGTATTTTTAAATCAAGACTCTGTAGATACCCGCGTCATTAAGAGCAGCGGATGCAATGACCCGTTAGCTAAAGACACAGGCACCTCTGGGTAACCAGAAATGCAGTATTTCTGCTTTCCAGTCATTCTCAGCTCTCTCCTAAAGGTGGCGTCTAGGCAGAGTAGGGAATTGACGGTGGTGCTCGGGCTGACTCAGGAAGACTTCTGAGCACCAGTGAGACCGACCTGTGGTCTGCAAATGACAGGCTAAGATGATCAAAGAATTGGAGTCTGTGTTGATCTGAATGACTTACGGAGCAACAGAAGATGTGTTTCCAAAAGCACACTCACCCGAGGGACAGAGAAAGAAAGTGAGAAATCACCCCCTAGAGGGCATGGCCATGCCACAATCCCTTCTCCATTTTCCTCTCAGGATTTTAAGCATGCATGCACACGCGCCCAGTGTGAGTTGTAAGCTGCCGGGTCAGGGACTCAAACCATGGTTTACTATGTGGGAGTCCACTGACATAACCATTATTCTATCTGCTGGTTCCAAACATCTATATTTTAACAACGGACATACTAGATGCCTACATATTAGAGAAGACTGTAACATTTATCTATACGACACAGAATATCTGCTTGCAAAGTGAAAAATTCAGTAAGGTAGATTGTTTATAAAGACTCATAAACATTTTAAAGACAAAAGGATTTAGTAATCATCAGTTTCAAAGATTTTTCCAACAATATTTCCCGGGGCCCCTTGACTTCAGTTACTTCTGAAGCCTTAAAGTTCCTGTTGACCTCGCATTGGCCAAAATAATGAATTTTAAAAAGCGACGCCTAAAAGCATTTTGTATTTAGAAATGTTTTCTTCATCAGGACAACAGGCAAAACTAATCAAAACCTAACTGTTGAGTTTCCCTTCTTGCAAACAGATCACATGGATGTTTTCTTTCCTGTCCAGCAAACACCATAAAATTCACTGAGCAGGGATTTTCTTAGTTATGCAATCTTCTAAGTGTTGAACTGCTTGAGTATCTCATGTAGTGACACTTAATTCCTATTTTTTTTTTTTTTTGGCTATAGGGTACGTGCACTCTCCAGAAAGACAGAGAGAGACAGAGAGAAAGAAAGCGAAAAATCAATCCCCCGGGGGGACAGCCATGTCACAACCCCTTCTCCTCTATTCTCCTCTCAGGATCTCGGGCACGCATGCACACGTGCCCCGTGTGAATTTAAGCCATGGGTTCCGGGACTCGAACCACGGTCGGCTATATGGGAGTTCAGCGACATAGCCATTACACTAACTGCTGGCCTCTTATTTTCAAATTTGTAACAGCTTTCTTTGACTTTTCTGGGAGGAGAAACTTACACCATGCATACTACAGAGATTGGACTCTTAATGTTTCCCTATAATCATAAGCAATAGGAGATAGATTTTCTGTGGACACATGCAATGCCTATAAGCCACCGTGGATATATTTTCATCAAGGTGTGCGGTGCCTGTAAGTAATAGGAATGATATTTTACGTGGATGTGTGAAGTGATCATTTTTTAAGAGGCAAAGGATAAGTCATGTTAAAAGCAGATCTGGCATGCATTCCTGCGCCTAATGACCTCAGAGTCAACGATTTCTTCATAAAGATAAAATAAGTTTATTGCAACTTGATTGCATCACTGAAAATAGAACTCTTGACTTGAAAACTCACCCTTATGTTTTATGAGGTCTGAAGTAAAAAAGAAATGGGTGGAATTAAACCAACAGATTATTTTGCAATCAAGGACTGCAGTTGTATTCTGCTGCATGGCAGATGGAGCTCATCTTTTCATCCTGTCCAGGACTGTTGATGGTTCTGTCCAAAACGTATCTTTGCCTTTAGAGGGTCTGGTCCATATTAATGATACAAATGGAGTTTTGTCAACTATTGTCAACCCAATAGGTTTTTATTTATTTATTTATTTATTTGCTATAGGGTGCGTGTGCTTGCCAGAAAGACAGAGAGAAACAGAGAGACAAAGCGAGAAATCACCCCCCTGGCGGGATGGTCACACTGCAATCCCTTCTCCTCCATTCTCCTCTTGGGATCTTGGGCACGCACGCACACGTGGCGTGAGTTTTAAGCTGTCAAGTCCGGGACTCGAACCATGGTCAACCATGTGGGAGTCCAGTGATAAAACTTTATGCCATCTCTGGTCCCCAGTATATTTTTTTAATTTCTTGTTTTTCGAAAGAACTGAGTAATACTTGATAAATATAATAGTATCAAGTTACATTTAAAATTTGTTTTTTGAATCAGGACCAAATGGCAATGAAGGATTATTTCTTCAAATGGGGCCTTTCGTCTGTGATTTACTGAGCAAGGTGTACAGTTCACGAAAGCATGAGTCTTCTCAGGGCTTTCCCTTAAGTTGACATCCAACATCACATGCTTGATTTAAGATACAGGCTTAAAACGTAGGAAGTTGGGACCAGCATATGGTGTAGTGGTTAGGTTGGTGGACTCCCATGTAGTTGACCACAGTTCAAGTCCTGGATCTGGTGGCTTAAAATTCATGCTGGTCATGTGTGCATGCGTGAATGGAGGAGAAGGGATTATGGCACGGCCATTCCCCTGGGAGAGAGTGATGTCTCCCTCTCTGTCTCTCTGGCGAGTGTACATGCCCTATAGCAAAAAATCTCTCTCTAAAAACAAAAAACAGTAGTAAGTTTTGGGGCCAGAACTGCAGTGCAATATTAAGTGTTGTACACAGGGGGCTGGATCCTGCATGGCCAACCTCGGTTCAAATCCCAGCCTTGGCGACTTGAAAACCACACTGAGTGTGTGTGCGTGTGTGCCTCAAATCCTGACAGAATGAATTGTGGCGTGACCATGTCCCATTGGGAAGGGCTTTCTCTCTTCCCCACCCTCTCTTTCTGGGGAGTATATGCACTCTCTGTGGGGTGGGGGGGAAGAAGGGTAGATTCTAAAAAAGTAGTAAGTTGTATTCTCTTATGTTTTTATGGCATTGAGGTTTTGTGGAACTTTAAATATTTGCCTTATCTTTTCCACAAGTCAGTGTGTTCCTTGAAGTCAAGGAGAGTGGTTATCTCTGTACGGAGTGGCACAAAGGGGTGGAAGGCCATCGGTCTGAATGCTGATACACCACTTAACATTGCAAGCCCAGAGAGCCTCAGGATTTTCTTGTTTTTCTTTTATTTTTTAATTGCCAGAGGGTGTGGGTGTTTGCCGGAGAGATACAGAGAGACAGAGAGAAAGAAAGAACCCCTAATGGGGCGTGGTCATGCTGCAATTCCTTCTCCTCCATTTCTTTTTCCTGTTGGGCTTTTAGAGCATGCGCGGGCACACGCACGCACACACACACACACACACACACACACACACACACAGATGGGCCCACTTTTTTTTTTAAGACTTATTTATTTCATTGTATTTGTTATTATTATTATTTAATTTGACCAGAGACAGATAAAAAGGGAAGGGAGAGCATAAGACGCCAGATCTGGGACTTGAATCATGGCCGGCTATGTGGGAGCGCAGTGCCTTAACCACCACGCCACCTGCTGGCCCCCCCAGTGTGTTTTCTTCAGCTGTCAAGGCTGAGATTCAAACCACAGTCAGTCATGTGGGATCCAGCTCCCTTACCCACTGGGCCACTGGGCTGACGCAAGGGGTGTCTTGCTTTGAGAGTAGAAAGGAGCTACTGATACACGGCAGTATATTTCTGTTCATCACGCTGTTAGAGCAACGTGAAGAATAATGACAGTTACGTTCGTTTTTAAAACATTTGTTAAATTATCACTGTGTGCGTTTTTAAAAAAAGTGTTGGGGTCAGCAGACTGTGTAATGGTTAGGTCACTGGACTTTCACACAGTCGAGCGTGGTTCAAGTCCTAGATCCAGCAGCTTAAAACTCACAGTGGGCACCTGTGTGTGCATCCCCAAAATTTCGAGAGGAGAATGGAGGAGGCGTGGCCATGCCCCTGTGGTGTGATGTCTCACTTTCTATCTCTCTGTCTCTGTCTCTCCAGTGAGTACATGCTCCCTATAGCAAAAATCTTTCTTAAAAAACAAAAACAAAAAAAACCTACAGCTTTTTTCCATCATCCCCAAATTTTCAAGGCCTTTTCCTATCATGACAGCTGCCCAACTCCAGAGAGAATTCTGCTCTAAAAGCTTGAAAACACTGAGCACGTGAGAACATCTGGGCAGCACGCAGCATTCAGAAACACAGCGACCTGCAGGAGACGGTACACGTTCTCAGCTGTGGCCCCAGGGCCACTGGTCTGGCAGCGACACTGAGAACACACGTTAGGCAGTGGCCGCTCACTTACCATTATGGGACATCCCCACAGCGAGGCACTTCTGAAACCGACAGTACTGACATTTATTTCTGCTCTTCTTGTGGATCCGACAGTTAAGATCACACCTGTCGTAAATAAGCTTCAATCTGATGGTCCTCCGGAAGAAACCCTGCGAAGGGAAGTGGAAAAAAAAAGGAGCAAATTTTAGGTCTTTGGGATGTGTTGGGAACCCATGGTTAAAAGCACAGTGACCTAGGTACTAAAAAGTATAGGGTTTTAGGGACCAGCACATGGCATAGTAGTTGTGTTGCTGGACTCTCACATAGTCAACCATGGTTCGAGTCCCAGACCCGGCAGCTTAAAATTCACATCAGGTGCGTGTGCGTGCGTGCCCAAGATCCTGAGAGGAGAATGGAGGAGAAGGGATTGTGGCGTGGCCATCCCCCCTGGGGGGTGATTTCTCGCTTTCTGTCTCTATGTCTCTCTCTGTCTTTCTGGCGAGGACACGCGCCCTATAGCAAAAACCTCTCCAAAATAAATAAATAAATAAAAAAGCCACAGGATCTTCGGTGCCCTTTTCTCGCCCTTAGGCACTGACCACACCCCAGTGACGCCCTTAGTGGCATCCTGTCTTGCCATTCCATTTCAGCAGCCCTGAGAAGCGCTCTGGATTTAATGTAATGCGAAGCAAACACCACACAGTCGGTTCGGTCTGTGCGCAAACCATTCCAGCAGCACGGCAGCACGCCCCAGCCTCCGTAACTGTGCTAAGAACTTTGGCAAAGTTATAATCACTTCACTCTAAAACACGAACGGGGCCAATCAAAATCCACATGTGGATCATTTTTTTGGAATTCTCTCCGTTGCATAATTTCCTGAAGAATTTGTTTCATTTATTTATGTAGTTAAAAAAGTGCCTCGTAATCTCTGTAGCCTACAGACAGAAACAGAGAATAGGGAAGAATAAAAGGCTATACATAATCTGTATAAAAATGCTCAGAAAAATCGACTGCTATCTCAAAACGGCAAATATGTCAGTGAGGCTAACTGACTATTCTGCTGTATTTCTATTTTTCAGAAATAACCAAAAAATCTTAATCAGAAATGTTTTCTAACTACTTTTTCCTTTTTATGATTTTTTTTTTTGCCTTAGGGTATGTGTGCTTTTAGAGAGAGACAGAGACAGAGAGACAGAGAGACGGAAAGTGAGAAATCACTTCCTGGGGGCATGGCCACACCACAATCCCTTCTCTTGCATTCTCCTCTTGGGATCTTGGGCATACACACACATGTACCTGGCATGAGTTCTAAGCTGCGGGTCCGGGACTCAAACCGCAGTCGACTGTGTGGGAGTCCAGTGACATAACCACTATGCCATCTGCTGGCCCCCATAACTCCATTTTTTGATACCTCCATGGGCATCTGCATGATGAAAACTCTGGCCCTGGGAGTGTGGCGCTCTGCAGCTCAGGACCCGAGGGGGGTCTGTCTGCCTTGTTCGGCAGGTGCTGTTTGACAGTGTCCCCTGACACGCCCTGCATAGGGGTGCAGGGAGCTGAAGCCTCTTTAACTTTCAAAGGATCCCAAGAAGAATTTAGAAGGAATTTCTCCCCTGTTGATTAATAGGGAGAAAGTTAGGGAGAAAGTTCTTTGATAATTATGTTTGGCCCTTAAATTGCTAAATTTTGGCTTGACTCATGTGATGCCTTTCAAAAGTATATCACATTCTCTTCGGAATAATTAAAGTTCTTTCACTGTTAGAGCATAATCATTCTGGGGCTGGCAGGTGGCGTGGTGGTTAAGGCACTGTACTCTCACATGGCTGACTGTGGTTCGAGTCCTGGACCTGGTGGCGTACTTTTTCAATTTCCCTCTGTCTTTCTCTTGTGAGTACACGTGCCCTATAGCAAATTAAAAAAAAAAAAAAAAAAGTCTGGCAGGTGGCGTGGTGGTTAAGGACACTGGACTCCCACATGGAGTGTGGCACCTCGAGTCCCAGACATGGCGACTTGCCACTTTCCCTCTCTCTCTCTCTCACTCTGTTCCTCTCTGGTCAAATTCTTTAAAAATAATAAGAAATAGGGACTAGCAGTTAGAGTAATGGCTATGTCGCTGGATTCCCACGTAGTTGACCGCAGTTCGTGTCCCGGACCCGGTGGCTTAAAACTCACACCAGGCACGTGTGTATGCGTGCCCAAGATCCCGAGAGGAGAATGGAGAAGGGATTTGCAGCGTGGCCATCCCCCCGGGGGGTGATTTCTCGCTTTCTTCTGTCTCTCTCTGTCTATCTGGTGAGTGCACTCGCCCTATAGCAAAAACCTCTCTAAAACAAAACAAAACAAAACAAAACAAAACGCTCCATTTGGGGCCTGTATTCAGCTTCCCCATGAACTGGTCTGCACGTACAAGCCGAATCAATGAACTACCCAGTGGCAGGTGGGAATAGGTAAAATCGTACCTGAGGGAGGGTCCTGTGCAGAAATACAAAGGAGAATACCCTGCCCTGCCTGGTGAATTGCATTTACGTATATCTTTAGATAAGTCTACGGTTCTAAAGTGACCTTTCACTCAAGATACAAAATAGGGTGCAACTGACTAAAGAAAAAAGGTGTCTAATTTGTATGCAATAAATGATAGCTTTGAAAGCTGTAAGGTAGGGACCAGCAGTTAGCATAATGGCTATGTCGCTGGACTCCCACGTAGTCGATTGCAGTTCAAGTCCTGGACCTGGTGGTTTAAACTCACGCCGGGCGCGTGTGCGTGTGTGCCCAAGATCCCAAGAGGAGAATGGAGGAGAAATGACCAGCCCCGGGGGGTGGTGGTGGTGGTGGTGGTGGTGATTTCTCGCTTTCTGTCTCTCTGTCTCTCTCTGTCTGTCTGGCGAGTGCACGCGCCCTATAGCAAAAACCTCTCCAAAAAAAAAAGAAAGAAAGAAAGAAAGAAAGCTCTAAGGTGTATTTATCTTTCCTAGCTAAAGGTTTTATTTTTATTTTATGTAAGTTTATGTTACACCCACAAATCTGTCACTATTTCACTTTAATCTAAACCCAATCTATTCCTCCCCGTCTGTTTGATTGACTTTTGGCAAAGATCGCTGATACAAACCTGTCCCATTGGCATTGTAAAATTGTTTCAGAAGACCTACCCCCAGCTGTCTTGTGCAATGGACCCATACATCAGCCTACAGTTTTGTGATCAGCTGGTACTGTAATTGCCGTTACTCAATGTAACTGTTCTTTCCAAACCATAAACTAGCCTTGTGGTCGATTGTATGTTATGTATCTTTGTGGTCAGTTTTATGTACGTATGTGTGAATTTTGGATTCTGGATTTGGGAATGGATTTTGGGCACGCACACACAGCATCCAGCATGAGTTTTAAGCCTCCGGGTCTGGGACTTGAACCATGGCAGGCCATGTGGGAGTCCAAAAACATAACCATTAGGTCATGTGCTGGTCCTGGTCAATTGTAATTTAGTTGTGGGTATACTGTACGTTCTACTGAAATGACAAATGCTGAATTGCCCAAAGCATCTCTCAGAACGTACGTATGAGGGCACTTTGAAAAGTTCATGGAGGGGCCAGCAGGTGGCGTGATGGTTAAGGCGCTGGGCACTCCCACATGGCTGACCATGGTTTGAGTCTCGGACGTGGTGGCTTGCTTTCTCGCTTTCCGTCCCTCTCTCTCTGTGTCTCTCTCTGGTCAAATTAAAATAAATGAATGAATAAATAAAATTAAATAAATAATTCTTAAAAAAAAGTTCATGGAGTGCTGGGTCTATAGGGCAGGAGTGCAGAGGTTAGCCCCGGGCATAAGCCCAGATCCAACATGGCCGACCATAACTTGAATGCTGGCCCTAGAGGCTTGAGAAACATGCTGGGCATGGGTGCATACATGCCCCAATCCTATTGGAATGGAGAGACAAAGGAAAAAAGATTGTGGCATGTCCATGCCCCATTGCGGGTGCTTTCTCATGCTCTCATGCTCTGTTGAGTGCATGTGCCCTCTGGCAATTAAAAAAAGTTCATGGAAAAGTAAAATTACAGTGCAAGTTTATTTAGGTGCAAACATTTTTGATACTCATGCATAGATTTTTGTTTTTCTTCTCTTTCTTTGTTTCTTTTTTTTTTTTCTTTTTTAAACGATTTAGGGGCCAGCACATAGCATAGTGATTAAGATGCTGGACTCCCACATGGCCGACGGTGGTTCGAGTCCTGGACCTGGTGGCTTGCTTTCTCACTTTCCCTCTATCTTTCTCTCTCTCGTGTACCTTATAGCAAATTAAAATAATAATAATAATAAATTAAATTAAATAATTCCTTTAAAAATGAATTATATATCTAATTTTATTTATCGTTATTATTATTTTAATCAGAGAGAGAGGAGGGAAAGTGAGAAAGCAAGCTTCCAGGTTCAGGACTTGAACCGCCGTCGGCCATGTGGGAGTCTAATGTCTTAACCACCATGCCACTTGCAGACCCCCGCTTTTTCACTATGCATGTTTTCCATGAACGTTTTGATGATCCTGGTACTCTGTCTCTTTCTTCTTCGACCCCTTCTAATCCTGACCTGAAGGCACTTGGGTTTCCTTCTCTTTCTTCTCCCTTCTTTTGGCTACTTTTCTTCTTCACCTGCTCCTGTCTTCTAAGTGTCAGTGTCCCCAACACTTAGCTTTGTCACTGTAACTACCGATGTTTCTGGACCGAGAACAATGTTAACCCTCCACAAATAGAAGACCGATTGAGTTACGGTGGAACTCTTTGCTTAAAAGGCTCTAGTTTTCGGGACCAGCAGTTAGCATCATGGCTATGTTGCTGGACTCCTATGTAGTTAACCATGTTTCGTGTCCTGGACCTGGTGGCTTAAAACTCATGCTGGGCACGTGTGCGTGCGTGCCCAAGATCCCGAGAGGAGAATGGAGGAGAAGGGATTGCGGAGTGGCCATCCTCCCTGGGGGGTGATTTCTTGCTTTCTGTCTCTCTGTCTCTCTCTCTCTCTGTCTGGAGAGTGCACGTGCTCTATAGCAAAATCCTCTAAAAAAAAAGCTCTAGTTTTCTGTGGTTTATCAGCCTATAAAAAGCAGTAACTTCCTGTGAACACGAAACCCTGTATGCTGTTTTTATTTGTTAATATAAATGATCAAGATGACCCAAAATTAATAGTTTTTTCAGATGAATATTGCTCAAAATTTAGCAACAATTTGCTCTCTCAAAAACTGTACAAATCTAATTTAATAAAATGATATGCTCTTATTATTCCTGAGGAGCTTAGAAAATATATTAGATAAAATGATTTCATGTAAGGTCATAGTTTTTTCTTTTTCTTTTTTCCTTATTTCTATTTTTTTTTTTTTTTTTAGGTTTTTGCTATACTAGACAGAGATAGAGAAAAGGAATGTGAAAAACCATCCCCTGAGGGGGATAGCCATGTGCAGTTCCTCCTCCTCCCCACCCTTGGGATTTTGGGGTGCATGCACACATGTGCCCAGTGTGATCCTCAAGCTATTAGGGCCGGGACTCGGGCCACATTCAGACATGTGGGAACCTTAACCATCAAGCCACCCACTGGCTCCAGATTTTTTTTTTTTTTTTTTTAAATCACAGAATAAATGGGTTTTAGTGTTTTGAATGAAAGCATCTCTTGCTAGGAGTACTGCAAGGAGTCATTATGAAATGATGACTTGGAGATGAGTAAGACCTTGAATAGCCGGTTTCACCATGTCGTTTTATGCATGAGGTGACTGGGGGCTAAAGTCTTTCTGTGATTAGCTAGTGACTTTGGGGCATGTGATACAGCCGAGTACTAGCGTCATTTTTTTTTTTTTTCGCTATATCAGGTTGTCTTTAGAGTAATAAATTGCACTTGAATTGAAGGGACTTTAGGGATCATTCAGTTGAGCACCATCATTTTATAGATGAGAAAAATCACATTTCCGATGAGGTTAAATAAATGATATATACAAAAGGGACACACATAGTAAGTGGTGCATAAGAAAAATTCAACAAAAATGAGCTTCCTCGGGGCCGACTGGTGGCGTAGTGGTTAAGGGAGCTGGATTCCACATGGCTGACCATGGTTTGAGTTCCGGACCTGGCGGCTTCCTTTCTCACTTTCCCGCTCTCTCACTCTGTCCCTCTCTGGTCCAATTAAAATAGATGAAATAAACAAACATATAAATAAAATAATAAAGTTAAATAAAATAATTCATTTAAAAAATTAGCTTCCTCTGGCCAGCCCTGTGGCTTGCTGGTTAAGGGAGCTGGATTGCACATGGTCAATTCTGTAGTTTGAATCCTGGCCACAGTGGTTTGAAAGACATGCCAACAACACACGTGTGCATGTGTGTCCCAGATGAGGAGAAATGAAGAGAGCTGCAGTGTGACCATGTCCCATGGGAGGACGCTTTCTTCCTTTTACTCTCTGCCTCTCTCTGGTAAGTATATGCACTCCCCGGAAATTTTTAAGAAATATATTGGGATAGCTCTATGGCCTGGGTTAAGGCAGCCAGATCCCACATGGCCAGCTATGCAATTTGAGATGAGACCTGGTGGCTTTGGAAACATGCTTGGTGCATGTGCATGTGTGTTCAAAATCCTGAAAGGAGAGAGAGGGAGAAGGGAGTGTGGCATGATCGTTCCCATGCAAGGATGCTTTCTTCTTTCTCTGTCCTTCTCTGGTGAGTGCAGGTTACCTCTAGCAAAATAAAATACAATGAAATGAAAGAAAATAAAATTTAAAAACTTCTTCTTTTGACCTGTATCCAGTTAGGAGCCTCCCTGCCCCACCTCTCATTTAACTGCTGCTCTGTATCTTTTTGTTTTTGGAGAGGTTTTCGCTATAGGGTGTGTGCGCTCGCCAGGAAGACAGAGAGATAGAAAGTGAGAAATCACCCCCCAGGGGGATAGCCATGCCGCAATCCCTTCTCCTCCATTCTCCTCTCGGGATCTTGGGCACGCACGCACATGTGTCCGGTGTGAGTTTAAACCGCTGGATCCGGGGCTTGAACAGCGGTCGACTACATGGGAGTCCAGTGATATAACCATTATGCTAACTGCTGGTCCCCTGTATCTTTATGTTAAATAAGAAGCCCGACTGAGGCAGTGTTTCTTTTACACAGTAAATATGTATGTATGAATAACTGATTCTTTCCCCTGGAGTAAATAAGAGATGAAACACTATTTTATTCACCGCATTTTAAAAAGACTACTTATCGAAGTATATTAACATGTCTTCTCAATAATTACAAAGCACTGGTATTCATGTCGGGTAAATTCCCTTTACAAGCGAAGTGATGCTTAGTGATTGAATGCATCAATGAAGTGAAAATGAAAAACCTGACAAAGCATATTGCTAAAACGTCAGAATTTTCCAAAATGCCCTTTCCCACGAAGGAAGGAAGTGAGAGGAAACAGGAAGTCCTTTCTAAAGCAGTGACCCCGCGGTGCCTGTCCACAGGGATGGCTCAGGCTGATGCCCGAGTAAGCACGCACAGAGCACTGGTTTGTGAGGCCTGGACTTAGCTCTGCAACTGACCAGTGCATGACCTTGGGCAGGCCTGGCTGACCCACACTTCCTGCAACTGTAAAGTGGCCATGAATAAGCTCAGCCTTGTAGGATCAGGCCATACACAAACGTAAATAATCTGTCAGCCTCACGTCTATGTGACATTGCATGGTATGGGAAAAGGCTGGCCCACGTGGTGCAGGCAGTGGCACCCGGATCTGCAAGTGCTGGAAGCCACGTGGCCAACCGGGGGTGCAGATTCTGAGTCAACCTGAAACATCCCAGGCATGTGAGGGAACCAGCAGTTAGCGTAATGGCTATGTCGCTGGACTCCCACGTAGTCGCCCGCGGTTCGCGTCCCGGACCCGGTGGCTTAAAACTCACGCCGGGCGCGTGTGCGTACGTGCCCAAGATCCCGAGAGGAGAATGGAGGAGAAGGGATTGCGGCGTGACCACCCCCCCTGGGGGGTGATTTCTCGCTTTCTGTCTCTATGTCTCTCTCTGTCTGTCTGGCGAGCGCACGCGCCCTATAGCGAAAAAACCTCTCCAAAGGAAAAAAAAAAAAAAAAACATCCCAGGCATGTGTGTGCCCACAGTTCTGACTGGCTAGACAGTTAGGGGAAGGGGACGGTAGCTTGAGCAGACACTGTTAAAGGAGCCTCTCTCTATGTAAGAAAAAAAGTCAATGAAATTAAAAGAAGGAAAGGAGGATTCAGGGAAGCGGGGTCCTGGTGGTGGCTTGCCTCTGTCATGCTATGACATCTTGGATAAGTCACCATTAAAAAACCCTAGAGATAAAAGCGTGGAGAGCAACAGTCATTACCAGAGATAGTGTGGGAGGAGCGTGGGGAATGGCACAGGGTGAGAGGGAAGGAAGACAGGAGTAAAATATGGGACCAGCAGTTAGCGGAATGGCTATGTCGCTGGACTCCCACATAGTTGACTGCGGTTCATGTCCCGGACCCGGTGGCTTAAACTCACGCTGGGCGCGTGTGTGTGTGTGCCCAAGATCCCAGGAGGAGAGTGGAGGAGAAGGGATTGTGGCGTGACCATCCCCCCTGGGGGGTGATTTCTTGCTTTCTGTCTCTCTGTATGGTGAGCGCACGTGCCCTATAGCAAAAACCTCTCCAAAAGGAGAAAAATAAAAAAGAAGTAAAATATATTTAAAAAAAAACAATAAAGAGAGAAATATTTTAAAAAAGAAAATTGCTGATGACTAGATAGAAATAAAGAACTCATTAGAAATCTCGAAAAAAAATCTACAAAATACAAGGATTGAGTTAAATCAGTGCCTCGAAGGACTGATTAAGAAAAAGAGAAATGAGATAAAAGAGTTCTGTTTTTACTAGATTTCTTACGTTTTCAAGTAATCAATTATCTAAAGAACTAATGATTGATTAATTCTTCAATTACTTGAATAATTCCTCAAATAGTTCGGCCGAAAAAAAAAAAGTTTGACAATTCTTTGGTGTTAGTGACAGAAAATGCACAGGGACATTTACAGCCGATTCTTTGGAGATTTTTTTTTTAAATTTAATTTATTCATTCGTTTATTTAAAATTTGGCCAGAGAGAGACGCAGAGAGAGGGAAAGTGAGAAAGCAAGCCACCAGGTCCAGGACTTGAACCGTGGTTGGCCATGTGGGAGTGTCCAGCTCCTTAGCCACCACGTCACCGGCTGGTCCCAATTTATTATTATTTTTTTTTACCTTGCACCCTTCACAAGCATGAACTCCATAGTGGAACCCGGACGCCTTATCGCCACAGACACGGCATTCGATGGCCATGAGGGAGTTGGAAGGCTCTTCGTGAGGCTTATTGTACAGATGGGTCTTTTCAGAATAATAAGGTGGGGATACAGGTTCCACTTTGATTGCATCTGTGTATCAAAAACAGGGAGAAGATGATTATCACAGGAAACAACAATCCCAAGAAGGCGGCAGGGCAAGTCGCCACAGCAAGCCTCAACGCCGTATTTTTATCATTCCCCCAGGAACATGAAGTAACAGAGGAGCGAAGCCACAGGAAAGTAGGCTCTGTAACCACAGGCAAGTCCCGACATCTCAGAGCATCACCTGTCAAAATAAAATGGGGAAGGGAGCGAAGTCCGTGGGTCTACAGCCTCCCAAGACTCTGTGACACCGAAGCCCTAACATACCACCTACTGGATTTGAGACAACAATGCTGATTTTACTAGGGAGTGTGAAGCAGTGGGCATTCATCCTGACATGAAATGATATATTTGATTTAAATTGTATTTAAAAGATTGTATTAATAATTTTAATTAATTAATTAATTAATTATTAGAGAGAGAGAGTGAGAAAGCAATCCATCTGGTTCGGGGCTCGAACTGTAGTCAGCCATGAGGGAGACCAGTGCCCTAACCACCACGCCACCTGCCAGCCCCAGTTTTATGTATTTTTAAGCCACGTTGGAAAACAAGCCACCGAAGGGACATTGCAGTGAGAAGGCCATGGTATGTATGCCCAGCTTGAAGGTACATGAAAAAAAAATGAGCCCAGGTTACCATGAGCGCTGGGTCAAAAAGAGAGGTTTACATAATGATCTTTGATAGCGAGTGGGAGAATCTATGGAAAATAAGTACTATCTTTCACGTGTTAGGTTCAGGCGTGTTGAATTTCCATGTTAGGTTCTAACTGAAAACCACACAGATAAATTTAACCAAGTATACTATTAATCTGAAAAAAAAAAAAACAAAAAACCACACTAAACAAAACTAGAAGTACAGGAAGTTCTTACTTCTTGTCAAATAATGGCTGCCAATTATATAGCGGTGGCTTTGGAAAACCAGTATATCAGCCCACAAGATAACAATCAAGGAAACAGCATCACAGAAACATAGTTTATCTCAAAAAAAACGCAGGGCTAGTTTTTCTCGAGTCTGATGCGTTGATGTCAACTTAGTTAATGGCATGAGGGTCTTGCTACCATGTTAAAATAGAAATTTGCGTTGGGAAATAGATTCCCATGGAAAGGTCTCGAACTATGGATGAGTGGGGGAGAAATGGACTGGAGTGATAGTAATGTAGATATAGGAGGTAACTTGGGACTGCTACTTATTAACTTGTAAAGGGTCAAAAGAATTCAGAGTTTGCATGGTGGACTCTTAGCTGGAGATGCAACTGACAATGAACTCATGCTCCTAAGGAGCAAGGAAGCAAGGATGGAGAAAGTAGGGAGGAAGGAGGAGGGTCAAAGGGGAGATCGACCTGGGGCCTTTACACACCAGCTTTCCTTTTTTGGCATATCATAGATGCCTACTATTTCATGGATAAACGAATGAGTAAGTGAATGGTGAATGCCTTCTCCATAGAGTTCTGGTGTCTGGTGCCTTTATTCTGGAGTTATGGAGAGATTAGTCCAGTTCCAATATTAGTCTGAAAAGTGAAAATAAATATCGTACTTTGGTACTCTTGGAGCTTCAGGTCATACTTATAATCAGCAACCATTGGATCGGCCCTTGGGAATGGAATGTCTTCATAGTGGGGGGCAGAAATGCTGGAGAAGTCCACGGTGGTGAATGGCTTGATATCAAAAGAGTGGGAGGGGTCGTCCATGACAGACAGATCCACGGAGCTGATTCCGAAGTTGGTGGGCCAAAATGGCATCTCTGTGTCCACCATGGTAACTTCTGAAATAAAAAAAAGTAATAGCTGTTGAGTTAAGTCTTGGAGAAGAGAGCGATCTTTGAAAGATACGGAGGAAGAGAATGAAAGTCTTTGAGAAAGTAATCTCCTGCAGGTGATCGTGACGGGAGAAGAGAACGTGACCACCTCCTTGGAGCTTCCCAGGTGCTCTTACTGTTGGAGGTCACCCCTTACCTGAGCATCACAGAGAATCCTATGAATGCACATAGTGTACCCCGAAAATGTCCCACCAACTGCCCTGCTCACATTATCTTCTACAGAAGATCACCAACGCAGTCTACAAAAGATGGTTTTTATTTCTCTAAAAATTCCTACCTTTATTGAGGACTAACTGACAAAATGTTTATATGTAAGGTATGCGATGTGATATTTTATTGTACCTACACATTATGAAATGTTACCACAGTCAAGCAAGTTAATGGATTAATCAACTCACATAGTCACGTGTGCATACGTGTGTGCGTGTGTAGTGAGAACACTCAAGGTCTATTCTAGCAAATTCAAGTATACAATATAGTATTATTTACAGTCACCACGATGCACATGAGCTTTCTAGAATTCATTTGTCCTACATCACTGAAACATTGGCTATCATTTCCTCATTTCCCCCCAAACTTCCCAGTCCCTGGAAATTAGCATTGTATTCTCTATTTCTTTCTTTTTTTCTTTTTAAGTATTATTTATTATTAATATTTTTAGAATTATTTTATTTAACTTCATTTATTTACTTATTATTTTAATTTGACCAGAGAGGGACAGAGCAAGTGAGCAAGAGAGAGAAAAAGAGAGAGAGAGAGAGAGAAGAGAAAAAGCAAGCTGCCAGCTTTGGGACTCAAACCACAGTCGGCTATGTGGGAGACCAGCGCCCTTAACCACCACGCCACTTGCTGGCCCCAGTATTATTATTATTTTCATACATTCAGTCATTATACATCATTTAGTTTGTAGAGATATTTTACCCAACATGATATATGCCACACAGCAGACGAGTTGATACTACTGTACACGTCATCACCAACAGGCAACAAGCTAGATCTGTGTTACACAAATGTCTTACTTCTCCATATTTTCCCCAATTTCCCTTCTTGCACTCTTCCCCTCTCCCACTCTCCTTCCACTTTGTCCCCAGTGTCCATAATAATTTGTAATGCTTTTATGTCCTCCAGTCTTTCAGTCTCTACCGTAGAGTGTAGACAGTCAGTATATGTTAAGTGGAGACATACAGTGTCTCTGTTTCATAGCGTGACTTGCTTCACTCAGCAATAGATCTTCCATGTGTGTCCACTTTTTATCAAATGCCAGGGTCTTTTTATTAATGGCTGAATAGTATTCCATGGAGTATATGTGCCACATTTTTTCAATCCATTCATCTGTTTGTGGACATTTGGGTTGGTTCCATGTCTTGGCAATCGTGAATCTGTTTCTATAAGTCAAACTGTTTGAGATGCCACATATAAGTGAGATTGTGTCTTTCTGTGTGTGGTTTCTTTCCCTTAATATAATGTCCTCTAGATTCATCTACATTGTTGTGAATGACAGGATTCCCTTCTATTTTATGACTGGCTAATATTTCACTGTGAGTGCATTTTTCAAAAACTCATCAACAAGTACTTAGGAAGACTTTGTACCTTGGCTGTTGTGAACACTGCTGCAGTGAACATAGATAGGAGCACAGATATATCTTCAACCTACTGAGTTCCTTTATCTTGGATGTGCAAGGGTATCTAGCAGTGGGACTGTTGGATCATATGGCAGTTTTATTTTTAAAAATAAATATTCTTTTTTTTTACTGAATTATTTTATTCAACCTCACCTATTTATTTATTTATTTTAAATTTGATCAGAGAGGGACAGAATGAGAGTGAGAGAGAAAGGGAAAGTGAGAAAGCAAGTTGCCAGGTCCGGGACTCAACCTGTGCTCAGTCACGTGGGAGTCCGGTGCCCTCAACCACCACACCACCTGCCAACCCCAGCGGTTTTATTTTGAATTTTTCAGGAATTCCCATTTTGTTTCCCATAATGGCTGTACCAATTCATTTTCCCAGCAATCGTGTGTAAGGGTTTTCCTTTCTCCACATTCTCTCCAACACTTGTTATCTTTTGTTCTAACAGTCACTCTTTTTTATTATTATTATTATTTTTTCAAGGTTTTTGTTTTAGGGTTTGCGTACTGCCTGAGAGAGAGCCGGAGACAGTGAGAGGGAAAGTGAGAAATCTCTCCTGGGGCGGGGAGGGGATGGCCACACCACAATCTCTTCTGCTCCATTCTCCTGGGATCTTGGGCATGCACACACATGCGCGCAGCATGATTTTCAAGCCACCAGGTCCAGGACTGAAACTGTGGTCGGCCATGTGGGAGTCCAGTGATGTAATCTGCTCCGCTATCTGCTGGCCCTCTCTAACAGCCATTCTAACAAATGTGAGGAGACATCTTACTGTGGTTTTGATTTGCATTTCCCTGAAGATTACTGATGTGAGCTTTTCATATACCTCTTGGCCATTTGTGTGCCTGTTTTTGAGAAATAGTTATTCAGGTCCTTTGCCCCATTTTTAAACTTTTTTTTTTTTGCTATTGAGTTGTTTAAGTTTATATATATATATATTTTGGACCAAAACCTTGTATCATGTGTGATTTACAAATATTTTCTCTCTTTCAGTAGGTTGTCTCTTTCCTCTGTTGATTGCTTCCTTTTCTATTCAGAAGCTTTTCAGTTTGATGCACTCTGTTAACGACTATTTTAAAACAGCATAAGCTCCTAGTCCGATTTTATTCTCTTGAAATTAGAGACCCTAAATAATTTTCTCTTTAGGATGAAAATGTTGCTATTCCATTTGTTTTTACAATGCCTTTGTATAATAAAAGAGTTGGTACATTAATTTAAATGAATTTGTTCTTCATCTGCATTATAAAGTAGTTCTGTTCTTCAAGTAATACTAAAAAGAAGGTCCTTTTTTACTATGAAAATTAACTTAAATATTTACTTTTTCTGCGGATATAACTTTCCTTTTTACTAAAGGTAGTGAGATACAAATGCCATTCATTTTATTTTATTTCTTAAAAAAAACATTTATTTATTAATATACCTATTTATTTGCTGTGATTTTTTTTTAAGTCGCTGGGCCCAGGCCTTGACACGGTGGTTGGCCACGTAGGGATCCAGTACCTTAATCATCATGCCCATATCTTTTTTTTTTTTTTTTTTTTGAGAGATTTTCACTATAGGGTGCGTGCGCTCGCCAGACAGACAGAGAGAGACATTAGAGACAGAAAGCGAGAAATCACCCCCAGGGGGGAGGGCCACGCCGCAATCCCTTCTCCTCCATTCTCCTCTCGGGATCTTGGGCATGCACGCACACGCACCTGGCCTGAGTTTAAGCCACCAGGTCTGGGATGCGAACCGCGGTCGACTACATGGGAGTCCAGCGACATAGCCATTACGCTAACTGCTGCTTCCCAACCCCATATCTGTTTTATAAAGAGGAGAAAGTCTTTCCCACAGAGGGATTAGAGATATGTGGAAACACTGGGTTGTAACAGAGAATGTCACAATCAGAATAGACCAGCATGACTTTTAAACCACCCCCAAACTAAACCAAGCCAAACAACAATGGAAACGAGAAAGCACAGAAAAGACCAAGGGAAAAACACACAGCTTCTAAGACCACTGAATAACAAGTGCCGTGACTCATCTGCTGCCCAGGATGACACACGTTACATGCATGTTTTTTAATCTGTTGTCACAGTGGTGAAGTCAAACCCCGGCCAGTTTTGGTTCTAAGCCCATGGTGGAACATTGTGACCGCCGAAGTGTATAAACTTTCAACCTTTATGTGACAAGTACCTTTTCTGCCTTGGCTTACCTGAAACCAGCTTACCATTCAAAGTGGTGTCCCAAAAGCCCTTACATATTTTAAATGTTAACTTTTTGGTCAAAAGTGTTAGTGAAGAGTTGCATGAACTCCACCCTGCTGACACTGGAGACAGATAACAAAATGCTCATAAACTCTCGAGCTTTTGAAAACAGATGCTAATCTGTCTCGTTTGCAGTCATACCCCCACATCTAGCAAAGGAGTCTGTTCATACGAGGTGATCGTTAAACATTTATTTATTAAATGCTAAGTGAACTGATGACTCAATGAGATAGCTATGACATCTTAGCAGAAGGAGTAAGGAAGGGAGGAAGCAAAGTGGTTACCTATGGAACACCCCCATGTACCAGAAGAATTCTTTGATTCCATGTAGTCGGAGATGTTCAGCTCACTTCATAGATTAGTAAACTTGGATAAAGAGATGAAACGACTTTCCCAGGGTCTGCTCTCTAGGAACTGAAAGAGTCAAGCTCAGGATTGATCCAGAAATCCTATTCCGTTTCTATGTTCACTTCTAGGTTTATTTGTTTCTTCTGTGAATGGAGAAGACAAAGAGACAGGATCTCCCAAAGGGTGTTGATGCTGTGAGCCACCCAGCTCCAGCTAGCTCCAGACCATGGGCATGCACGTGCCTGGTATACTTGGAGAGATCTCTGGACATGAACCGGGATTCCTCCTATGTAGGTCAGCCTTGCAGAACATTGTATTTCCCCACTGTGCCACTGCCTGGCTCTCTTATGCATACATGCTCTTTTTATCTTTTTAAAGATTTATTTACTTTATTTTATTGATTAAGATCATTATTTTAGAATTTGTTACAAGGCACTCATGCTTACCAGAGAGATAGATGGTGAGAGAAAGAGAGGAAAAGAGAGAAAGCGAGATGCCAGGTCTGGGACTCGAGCCAAGGTTGAGCATGCGAGAAACTAGCACCTCACCCACTTGCTGACCCCTGAATATTCTTTATTCTCTCACTGATCAAAGAGGCTTACAGAAGAAGGGCTACTCTCCTGGGATAGCTGGGAACGGGCCTCTTGCTTTTCTCCAGCAGAGAGCTTAGAAATGTGCCCTCCAAGGCTTAATCTTAGAGGACCAGCAGTTAGTGTAATGGCT